AAATTAAGTCAATTGGTAAATATTGTGGAGGAAAAATCATTTTATATTGTGGGACCTCAAACAGCAACACACAGACTTATGTAGATTCTCTAAGTCGAGTAATACCACGGCCTGCTACCTGCTCAGGCTGCCTGGTTTTCCCAGTGAATTTTTTTTATTTCAAAAATATACTTCATTCATAAAAATATCTTTATGTACATATATAGTCACTAAAGCAGTTTGATTCTGTACAGTAGCATATGAAGAAACAAACAAATATTGGAGCTTGACTATCCAGCAAACAAACCCAAGGCATTTGCTACTTGTATGAGACTATATTTACATCCATTTGAGGCAACGGAAGGTTCCCGTAACTGATCAGAGCCCCATTTAGCTTCAGCAGAAAGACCTTAGACAGTGGTCTTTCCCCACTGTGCCTTGGCAACAGCTAGCCCAGGCTTTAGAGTGTCCCTCAGCACGTAGTACTGGACCTTAGAATGTGTCAGTCTGCAACACTCAGTTGAGGCCAACTTCTTGCTCTCAAAGGCCAACAAGTTTCAGGCAGACCAAAGAGCGTGTTTCACTGCGTTGATGGTCCTCCAGGTGCAGCTGATGTTTGTCTTAATGTGCATCCTGGGAGACAGACCCTACAGCACAAAGTCCTGTGCCACGGAGCTGCTCAGTACGAACCTTGATAAAAACCACCCCATCTTTCTCCATACTTCCTTTGCAAAGGCACATTGCAGAAGGAGATGTGTGACAGTCTCTACCCCCTCTGCGGCTGTTTCGAGAGCAGCGTGTGGTGGTGCAGCAACCCTGGGCATACATAAAGGATCTCACAGGCAATGCCCTTCTCACCACCAGCCAAACGATGTCTTGGTGCTTGTTGGAAAGTTCTAGTGATGAGGCGTTCTGCCAAATGACTTTGACAGTCTTCTTAGGGAATGACCCAACAGGATCCACCCTCTCCTTTTCCCGTAGGGTCTTGAGGACGCTTGATTTTTGAGTATTGAGGGTCTACACACAGCTTGGTGTAGCCTCGCATAAAGGTGGCCATCAGGATGAGGGTGACTTTGGGTATGTTCTTCCCACTCCTTATCCAGAGCTTTGTACATGGTGTCCGTGTGCACACAGTACATCTTAGACCTCCAGATGAAGTGGAAGATGGCTCGGGCGACTGCAATGGCACAGTTTATGGGGATGGGCCAGACCTGCTCCACGTACCACAACAGAGAGAGAGTGCCTCACACCTGATGATCAGACTTTTACCCGCAGTGGAGAGGGAGTGATGCTCCCAAAGGACAGTTTATGCCTCACTCTGGCAATACGTTCCTCCCAAATTTTTGTGCATGCCCCAGCCCCTCCAAACCATATTCCCAACACCTTGAGGTAATCTGTCCTGGCAGTGAAGGGGATAAAGGATAGGTCAAACCAGTTCCCAAAGAATGCGGCCTCACTCTTACCTTGATTTACCTTTGCTCCCGAGGCCAGTTTGAACAGGTTGTAGATGCTCCCAAGTCTGTGCACTGACAGTGGGTCCGAACAGAAAATGGAGACATAACCTATGTACAGGGAAGCTTTGACCTGCAGGCTCCTACTGTCAGAAATAGTCACCCCTCTTACATCTTCACATCCCTCCTGATGGACTCAGCAAAAGGCTCTATACAACACACAAGCAAGGCAAGACAGAGTGGGCAGCTCTGCCTGACTCCAGATCTGATTGGGAAGCTTTCTGATTCCCATCCATTGATTGAGACTGCACTAACAATGTTGGTGTAGAGCAGTCGGACCTAATTTCGGATTCCATCCCCAAAGCCCATTTTGGAGAGCACATTCCACATGCAGTTGTGCAATATCCTGTGAAAGGCCTTCTCCTGGTCCAGGGTGATGAGGCATCCACCCTCCCCTCCTGCACATAGGTGAGGAGTGCGAGAGTCTGAGATTGTCCTGCCTGGTACGGCTGGGCAACATGAAAGCTCCTTGCAGTCAGCGGTGAGATAAGTTCAAAAGTTATGTGAACTGACTTGCACGTCAAGAATTCTCGGTACCCAGTTCATTTGCTAAGATAGAAAGCAGAATATGAATAAAAGTTGTGATACCTGTAAGGCATTTAATAAACTATAATCGCTCCTTTGGTGGCAATTCAGTACTGACTGTCTTTCCTCTCGGCAAATGCATAAAAGAAGCAGTAAGCTGCACCCAATGTTGAGATAGGCCTCGTCAATGTTCATCATGATTCTGCCTCAAATTTCCCCACAGCCCACATTGCTCAAGCCCCTGTAAGATTCTGCCCCTCGTGTATTTATGCAACGTGGCTTGTGCTGCATTCATTGGAATGAGGTCGCTGAGTCAAAGGTCCATGTTGAGTCATTCTATGGCCCTCCTAGTTACTGTATTTCTTGTACCACTGTATAGAAGACAGTGCTAACTGTCATATACATGTGATGTGAATGCTGACTGCTCACATTGCAAAGGACCTGACCTATTTCTGATAATCCCCATGCAGATTCTTTGGAATTGTGACCAATATGTCCAGTCAAAGCAGAGGTTATCATTGCTGTTGCTGCAGTGCAATAAAGGCTCAGAGAAATAGAGGAGGAACAGATGCATCAAAACTCCCTGGACCAGCAGCAATCTCCAGTGGCTGCCAAACAGCCTCCACATGAAGACGTTGCAGCTGAAGGTCCCTCAGAAAATGCAGGTGGTGCAGGAGACTCCATGTTTGCCATTCTCAATGCCATCTCCTCTAGATGCAGTGTTGTCACACACTGAGAATGTCCTGGGACACTGTCACAGCGAGATGGCTACTGCAGGAGCTGTGTCCTGAAAGAGTGGGTAGCCATCCTGCCCTGGTGGCAGTTTTGGTGACAGCTGCACCAAACATTTATGTAACTGGTTCCTTCCAAGGATTCATGAGGAACCTGTGTGGGATCTCACAATCCTTAACCCACAAAGTGACACGGCTGTTACTGGCACCACTTGTGCCAGATGACGGAGCTCCTTTCCCTGGTGCAAGGTCAGTGCTGTAGCTCAGACAGCAGGCTTTGGCAACATCACTGGCTTCCTGCAGGGCCACGGCACTGTGGACTCTACACCCACCCAATGAGAGCACCATGTTATAACATGGCTGACTCAATCAATAGAAAAGGCATTCCAATCCATCAATGTACAAGTTATCTGTGATCATTAGTAACATATTCTCGCAGATTGCACTAGTTACCCTGGGAGCTGCCGTGATGTGTATATCTTTAAGAACTGCCATGTTCCTGCTTTGTTTTGAGGGTTGAATGCCTACCGGAATGGTTATAGGGAGACAAGAAATACTTTCTGCAACTAGGCCTGATGACTCTGTCGTGCAACCTCTTGACTGATGCTGTGTGCAGATACAGTGCAGCTCATTCTTCACATAGCAATGGTGGAGCAGACAGTACACCTGCTGAGAATGAGGTTCCGATGTCGGGATCAGTCTGCGGCAGGGCTCGGTGGGGTGGGGTGTGCTTTGCAGTATGGACAAAGTAAGCTGTGCAATCCTAGCATGTCATGCTCTGCACAAATGGAGCAGGCAAAGAGAGGATGTGATGGGTACTGAAGAGCTGGGAGAGCGGCAGCAGTCTTTCAAGAAGGTTGATGAAGATGTTGAACAGGAAGACCATCACCTTTTGCATGAGAAAGTGCCGCAGCATCAGCCACAATAAGCTAGACAGGACTTAATTGACAGCAGGTTCCAGCAGATGGGAGCTCATGCAGTGATCATGCATTGACTGACTATAAATTTGATGCTGCTCAAATGGCAACCAGTCGCTGTCTATTCCCCGAGGCAAATGCAGCTTCTACTTATTTTTTTAATGGTTGCTTTTTCTGTTGCTGAATGAAAGTGGATGTTTTGAACTGTTTGAAGGCTTTCATAGAATAATAGAATCCCTACAGTGCAAAAAAAGGCCATGCAGCCCAACAAGTCTGTGCTGACCATCCGAAGAGCAACTCTTCACCCTATCCCTGTAACCCTGCATTTACCACGACTAATCCACCTAGGCTGAACATCCCTTGACCCTATGGGGCAATTTAGCAGGGATAATCCACTTAACCTGCACATCTTTGGGCTTTGGGAGGAAATCGGAGCGCCTGGAGGAAACGAGCGCAGACATGGGGAGAACATGCAAACTCCGCACCGACAGTTGCCCAAGGCTGCAATCGAACGCAGATCCCTGGCGCTGTGATGCAGCAGTGCTAATCACTGAGCCATAATGCCACCCATTAATAGAAAAAAATGTACATCAAATTTCCAACAGTAAATAATGAGAAGATATTGAGCATTGGAGAAAGTGTAGCACTGCTTTTGACAGTATTCTAAGATGTGATGAGGCTAAGGATGGGTAAGTTACTTTGCTTGGTTTTTAAATTGATATAGATGCACAAATGTTTGCTTGTTATTTGCAGTGAAGTGTCAGCCGTGCCACCTCTGTGCCCTGAAGAAATGTTTGTTTTTGGTTACCCCCTCCCACTATGTACATCATGAAGGGCAGCTCCAGACAGCTAGTGCTGGACTTTAACCATGGCACAGGTACCCAGAAACCAGTACAGTTTCAGCAGCGATGGGTATTTCTATTTGTGGTGTTGGGACGAAATGTTGAGTGGGGACCAATAGCGGGATGGAGCACAGGTAACGAGGTGAGTTTGAGAGGATAGTGTGAGAAATCTCGCTCGGCTTCCCTGAAATTTCTAAATATGACTCTTAGCTAATTTCCAGTAAATTCAGCCCTTGGTGTTACCAAGAAAAAATAGAGAATTGATTTAAATGATGCATATTCAAATTTAGTTTGTGTACACCATAAAACTGGTTTGTTGGTTTCTAACAAAACTTATATGCATTAACGGTTACTATTAACCAACTTATTACCCACGGTCAAGGGCAAACCAATAAGATCAGTATGAGTCAGTTACTTTCCTCTGCACATGTTTGAGCATTGAGATTGAGAGCTCATGAAAATTTTTGTGTGCGTATTTGCAGATCCCCAGACAAAATGGGAAATGGCTTCGTTAAATCCAAGCAACTAAGAGAACCAGAAAGCCACACAGCAAATCTTTCTATCGACAGCATCAAGATTCCGAGAGACAATGGCAGTAGTTCAACTGTTAAAGCCTCACCAGAAATCCTGAAGAAGAGATTATTGGAACTTGAATTGGAGAATAAAAACAAAGATGACAAATTGCAAGAGAAGGAGTGTAGGATACAAGACCTGGAAAAGCAGATTATCAGGCAGACCCGAACTATTGCTGAAATCACAGAGGAATTACAAGCTAAATGCATTCAACTGAACAAACTGCAAGATGTAGTTAAAACTCAGTGTGGAGTCCTTCTTCAGTCATCTCCATCACCACTTAGAACTGCTAACAGAATTATGAATCAGTGCACCGATTTATTCAAAGATATTGGAAGCAGAAGGAAAGGGGCTAAAGAGGGTGTATCTGCAGAACCTACTACCAGGACTTATGATTCCAACAAACTGCCAGAGTTCTCTTTGGAAAGAGCCAGGATTCGAAAGGATTCAGAGTAATTACACACCTTCGTTGCATTTTTTTTTCGTTGTTGCAAACATATACCAAAAGTAAAGGATGACACAGTGTGGAGCCAGCCAGGCAGCATCAGAGGAGCAGGAAAATTGACGTTTCGGGTCAGGACCCTTCTTCAGAAAAGACTCGAAATGTCAACTTTCCTGCTCCTCTGATGCTGCCTGGCCTGCTGTGTTCCTCCAGCTCCACACTGTGTTATCTCTGACTCCAGCATCGGCAGTTCTTACTATCTCCAAAAGTAAAGGAGTCGTTTGTTTGTTAAAATTTTGATCACACTGCATATGTATAAGCAGATGATTGGAGAAGACTTGGGATCAGGGAGTGATTAGTAGGTATTGAAATTCTGAGGTTCAGGTGAAATCATAAGATGCAAAACAATTCGCTCAAGTGGTTTATGATGTTTGTCTGACTCCCTTGTCTGATTATTATGATCACTTTTATTTCTGTCCAAGACTTATGTTCTTCATGTACAATAACTAATTAAGTAGTTTATTTTCTATATCAGCAGTGATTGTTGCTATGGAAATGGCTGTTAACATCAATGTTATTACTCATTGGACTTTATGCTAATACTTAGGAAATTAGCGATGAAGATATATTTAATGATTGTGACATGAATAGAAAAATCAATTGAAAAAGATCATGGAAGTATAGAACCATAGAAGATAAGAGTGAGAGAAGGCCATTCGGCCCTTTGAGCCTACTGCACCATTCTTCACAATCATGGCTGATCGTCCAACTCAGTGACCTAATCCTGCTTTCTCCCCGTAATCTTTGATTCCATTCGCACCAAGTACTATATCTATCTGTCTCTTGAATACATTCAATGTTTTGGCATCAACTGTTGCCTGTGGTAATGAATTCCACAGGCTCACCACTCTTTGAGTGAAGGAATGTCTCCTCATCTCTGTCCTAAATGGTCTACCCTGAATCCTTTTCCACTACCTTTGGGTTACCACACGCACAAATTTAGCATTAATGCTGGAAATCTTTTCATGAGAACTAAGCACCGTACAAAAATGTGTTACTCTCTCTATGTAAGACAAGTTTAACCTTTTGGGACTAGTTTTTCTCTTTTATACTTGGAGATAAATGTTTCCCTGCATAGCACGTATTGAAGAGAAATCAATTAGGAAGTCATGAACACCCACAACATAGCCAGTTGGATCTTCTGTCCTTTTAAATTATTTGTACTCAAACGCAACAAAGGAAAACGTGTTCTTCAAAAAGCGCATGTGACCCAGAAGGACAGTAAAGCCATGCCGAAGCTTCAAGAATGCCAGCCTGTATGGCATTAGCCACAGGCCACAAGGCCTCCTGTGTTTTATGTTAATTCGTAGCACATGGGCATCCCACCAGTGAGGACAGCATTTATTGCTAATGGGAATTGTCTTGGGGAAGTTGTGGTGGTCTGCCTTCTTGGAATTTTTCAATTGGCGTGACTTTGCAGCAGTTTTATATTTCCAGTTTTACAATGAAGGTTGCTAGGCCAACGCTTGGGGAAGTTCACATTGCCGTGGGACTAGGCTCACATACAGCCAAACCGGCTGAGGATTGCAGTTGAGTTTTTAAAACCTTATGACAGCTTCATGGTCACGTTCTTGTCGTTGATATTGACTTTCTGATTTTCAGAATTTTCATTTAAGTTTGAATTAAAATTCTCAACCTGCCATAGTCAGATTTAAACTTTTTTTTGATTTTCATTTGTGGGATGTTGGCGTCGCTGGCTGGCCAGCATTTCTTGCCCATCTCTAGTTGCCCTTGAGAAGGTGGTGGTGAGCTGCCTTCTTGAACTGCTGCAGTCCATCTGCAGTGGGTTGGCCCACAATGCCCACAGGGAGGGAATCCCAGGATTTTGAGCCAGCAACAGTGAAGGAATGGTGATATATTTCCAAGTCAGGATGGTGAGTGGCTTGGACGAGAACTTGCAGGTGGTGGTGTTCCCATGTTTTTGCTGCCCTTGTCCTTCAATATGAAAGTGGTCATGGGTTTGGAAGGTGCTGCCTGAGGGTCTTTGGTGAATTTCTGCAGTGCATTCTGTAGATAGTACACACTGCTGCTCCTGAGTGTCGGTGGTGGAGGGAGTGGATGCTTGATGATGTAATGCCAATCAAGTGGGCTGCTTTGTCCTGGATAGTGTGAAGCTTCTTGAGTTTTATTGGTACTGCATGTGGGGAGTATTCCATCACATTCCTGACTTGTGCCTTGTAGGTGGTGGACAGACTTTGAGGAGTCACAAGGTGAGTTGCTCGCTGCAGTATTCCTAGCCTCTGACCGAGAACTTAAATTATTTCTAGATTATCAGTCCCAAACCATACCCATTGTAGTACTAGACCTTTATCCTCCTCGAGCCTCCTACTGTAGATATCATACTTTAACTCTCCACTGCTTCTCTGATGGGGTTTCTTAGGTCAAACTCTACTGCCAGCATGATATGGTCTGAATGCTTCTTTTTATTAGTTATGTAACATATGATATAAAAATCATGACTGAGTTCTTGTGAGATTTATGTCTTGAGGTTTACTAACAATACTAACTATTTACACTATTATAAATACTCGGTTGACCACCAAAGAAGAGTTTCTGTGCTCACTGACTATTACTGTTACATACATATACATAGCTGACTGAGTGAACACACTACACTGACCACATGATGTGATGTCATGTATTTGGTCTTAAAGTTGCCTAATCTTGAATCTATGCAATAATACGCTGCTGTCTAACAAGGATTGCCTATTCATGATCCCATTAATAGTTAACTTAATGTACCCCTGCTCCTCTCTTTGAATAGCCACCTCTGAAGTCCCTAAGCGATTATGGTTGATCTTTTGTTTCTAGCTCTCATACTATTTTTTGGTGACAGTATCTGCAGTCAGCTAAAATATGTATGCTGATAATACCCAGCTCTGTCTGCCCCACAACTGCTTTGGCCAGCCTATCCAAAATCAAGGACTTGAAATGCTGTGGCCCACACTTCCATCTGGCCATTTACACTGCTGTTCACTACACTGAAAACTGCAGGGTCAGGATGTTCTTACATACAACAAGCCATCGGCGGTTGGAAAGGAGTACCAGGCCCCAGATTCTGTGGAGACCTGGTAGCATTAGGGGATATTATGGTGTAGTGTATGTCAGATTAAAGGGACAAATCTGACTGAGAGTTGAAGCAGAAAAAGAACTTAATTCCAAGGGCAAATTGGTATTTAGTCCATAATTTTGGTGGGGCCGTTAGAAGGCCCATAACGGAACACAGATATACAGCATATTCGAGATTCACTGGGGCAAACAGGAGCAAACTGGGTAGAGTTTCCAGAAAAGCCCTAGATCACTTTCCAGACACATCAAACTGAAGCCATAATTGTTATCAAGCTGTTCAGACATGTCCTGCCACACACCGCACCACAGGACCACTCTACGAAATAGATCTTCATGAGTTTCATATGATTTGAACACACACTTTCTAATCTGGAGTTAGACACACTACTTGTGCCACAGAATTTGATACTCATCACAGACTTTAACACTAGCTTCTTTTCCATCTCTGGCTTCTCAGTCCAGTTTTGAAAAAAAAGTCTTCAGGAAATGTGCAGTGAAAAACAGAAGTGCTGAAAGGGTTAAGTGTATCTGTGTTCTCTCTCCACAGATTCAGTCTGACCTGTAGAGTATTTTCAGAATGTTATGCTTTTATTTCCATTTATAAGAAGGGGGCTGCTTTGAACATTCTGTCTGAGGAGAAGTTCTGAATATTCACTAGAACTAAGCAGACACATTAACAGTGACCATTCAGTTGGGATTGCACTTCTCCTGTAATTCTACTTTCCTCCTATCCTATGTCCTGTTCAATTCTTTCTTTTTAAGAATACTTATTCAGTTCTCTTTTAAGTGATGTGGTTGGCTCTGATCGTAGCTAGTCGTGGTAAAATATTGCTCACTCAAATGATCATCTGCATCAAAAACAATAGTCCAATTACCCCTTTCATTCTTTTACTGATAAACCTCAGTTAGTGCCCCTTGTTCAGTGAAAATGAGAAGGTCAGCTTTTATCTCTGACTCCTGATGTGTGCAACTCCGTGCTGGGAATTTAAGGGAGAAAATTAACTCTAATATTAATGATAAGATAACATTATTGCAGGTATGTTCTGAACATGTAATTGGCTGTACATATTGTTGTACTGCATCCAGATTGGCAAAAAACAGATTTCTGGATGTAGGTATAAAATAATGCTACACTAAAATGCTGGGTTGAGTATTTTTAAGATTTAAACAGTAAGTTCAATTTCCAAATATATTAAGAAATCAGAAAATACTTTGGCCAGTGTGCATTGCAGTTTATTAAGCAGCGGATTTTGATCATACATTCTGATTATTGAGGGAAATCGTTAACTAATTTAATTACATTATAAATTACTCAGTTTATTATAGGGTCATAGAGTTATACAGCACAGAAACAGACACTCCGGACCAATTTGCCTGTGCTGAGAGGAATTTGGATCCTGCGGAGAAAGATATGGAAGCTAGAAAACTTGGGGAAATAAAAAGTGATATCTTGAAAAGTGTGTATGTTACAGAGGAGGATGTGCTGGACTTCATAAAATGCATAACGTTAGATAAATCCCTAGGACTAGATCGGGTATACCCTAGAACTCTGTGGGAAACTAGGGAAGTGATTGCTGCGCCCCTTGCTGAGATATTTGTGTCATTGATAGCCACAGGTGAGGAGCCAGAAGACTGGAGGTTGGCTAACGTGGTGCCATTATTTAAGAAAGGTGGTAAGGAAATGCCAGGGAACTATAGACCGGTGAGCCTGACATCAGTGGTAGGTAAGTTGTTGGGGGGATTCTGAGGGACAGGATTTACATGTATTTGGAAAGTCAAGGACTGATTAGTGATAGTTAACATGGCTTTATGCATGGGAAATCGTGTCTCACTAACTTGATTGAGTTTTTTGAAGAAGTAATGAAGAAGATTGATAAAGGC